GGTGGTCCCACTGCTGAGATTTCTGTGTCTCTTTGAGCAGCTTTTAATGTGAGTGATGGCCATTGATTTGTGTCACTTCAGGTCATCTAAGAGCTGAGTTGGTGCTGATGCTGTTATTGTGCTTGATAGCTGTGGATACAGTGAGCTTGTAGGCAGAAGCACTTACCTGTTCAGGTAGATTTCAGTGGAAAACTTCATGTCATAGGAAAACTCTTAATGAGTCTTGGCTGCCTCAAGTTAAAGTTTAGTATTGCAAACTCAGAATCTTAGTTCAATCGTAGTATTTAGTCTTAAACTGGAGGCAGGATGCGAACATAGGACAAGCATAAATGCTGGGCTTCAGGCTTCTGCTTCGATTTATTGTGTTTTCAGAACAGATCATTAGTTCTGTTTGGTTGCATCTGTATTTGTTTTCTCGGTGTTGCAGCCATGACAAGTGAGAAAAGTAGGAGGGGATGCAGAAAGACCAGTTAAGGAATGCGTTGTGCTTTGTGGTGTTGAAGTGGCATGCAGCAGCCTCAGCTGTAACCACTGCTGTACTGCACATCCTGTAACTGAGAGTTTGAGTAGGGACGATGCTCAACTGTCCTTTTGACATTATACGTATGGCCTGGCAGAGTGTTCAACAAAACAGAGTGGTCTGGGGCCTGCAAAGCAGTTTTCTGTACGTGCATGGGTGCTTCTTTGTTGCTCCCAGGAGTATTCAGACAGGCCTGAGACATGCTCTAGTGGCCGCCCTGTCCCTTCTGCTTTGTTTCATGGGGAACCTGTGGCTCATGGCAATTTGATCTTCATTCTGAAATTCATACTCTTCCTCAAAGGGCTTCAGAAGGCTAGAATGATGTTTGGAGTTAGTACTTGGTCTTGTTCTCGACACTGCACATGGAGCACTCTGACAGATTGATCACACCAGTTATTTTCCTTATCCTTTTTATGGGTTTGAGTTGGAGCAGTGCAGATCTAGTTCCCTTTAATGTCTGTTGTAATTCATTTACACTGAGGAAGTGTGGTCCATCTCTCTTAGTGTTGCCAAAAAGATACTGGTGAGCACAGATTGCATCACAGTTCATGCAGGTCCAAAGCCATGGGGACCTGGTTAGTGAGCATATGGTTTCTAGACTGGCTGGCTCTGCTGGTGTGGAATTGTTTAGAAAACATGTTGTTCCTTGCACTTTCACCCAAATACAGGACCTAGTGCAGAACAAGTTCTGGTGCCGGAGTTGACAGCAAAGGGCAATGTGAAACAGTTACCTGTGTGATAAACCTGGGTATAGAGGAGAGCAGCAACCAGAGCCTTGTAGAGACAGTGGCATTGGAGCTGGAAGTGAGAAGGGAAAGTCTTTCAGATTAGCTGTTTAGATATGTGCCAAGTGAACCAGCAACATCTCAGCGTTCATTCTTTCAGAAGTGTTTCAACAAATTTAAATTGACAGCATGAGTTAATAGTACCCAGCATTGTTGAAGTTTGTTACTGATCGCACAGTAACTATTCTAAAACTAGATTTACTATTCTAGGTACTCACGGCCTAAGATGCTGCAATAACAAAGAGTTGTCTTGCTCAGTAGTATGCCTTAATTAGGTAGAGATTTCAGCAGAAGAGGCAATTTCTTCAGTGACTGGCAGCTACAGTGGGCTGAAGTTACAAAACCACAAATGCTGAGTGGTGGCAGTGTGAGAGCTCTTTAATGTTATTTCTTATGCCAAAGGCTTGAATGTCAAGACCTTTGGATGTTTGGGCCGTGCCTGTAACTTCTTTGGTTTCCAAAATACTCTTGTGGTCAAAAAAGCCTAGCAGCAACTTGGACAATTTTTGGAAGGGAGCCAGGGACTCTTTCTGACTGTTGTTTTTGGAAAGAAAATGGAAAATTTCATCATAAGGTAAGGTAGAACTGAATAAAAGGAGAGGATGGGAGATAGGGAGTGAAGTGATTGAGTGAATTCCAGAAAACTGCAGAAATGGCAAAAGTTAGGTGATGTGCAAAGGGGAGGGAAGTTGTGAAGAGGATAGAAAAGATTGTCTGGTAGACTTTGTTGTAAGCTGTGATAATTTTAATTTGGAAAAGCCTCTTTGTTTTCTAGAGAGAAGAAAATGGATAATTCAGGATTACCATCAATTTTGGAATTGACAAATTCCCTTTCAAGTCTAAAAATGTGATTAGTGCAGTATGTCCTAATTATGTTCTACTGTGATTTGGTAAAAAAACCCTCCTTTTTATTTAGCTTGTATAAACAATTCAGAATTTTTGGCTTTCAAATTGAAATCTTCCTTTCCTAGGATCATACCAAATCCCCCAAACAAAACATAAACTGTAATTCATAAAGATTTGAAGGTCTTTTGGAGTGTTAAGTAAGACATGACGTGCCTTGAGTTTCTACAATTGGCAAGTTATTTGCTCTTGCAGTTATGGACCACTGTACGCTATCTTTCTGTTTTGTTTTGATCTTTTACGGGAATAAAAAGTTTGTTTTAAGACATTGGGAAATGTTTCATGGTCAACACTGCGGTGTGGACTACATTTTGGGCTGTCTTCTGCATGGCTGCCAATATTGCTGGGAAACTGCAACTTACACTCCAAAGGTTCTCCCTCTTCAGTGTTTGTGGAGCAGTGCACTTACTTCTCACGTGCAGCTGGACTGCAGTTGAATGCTGTGCATTTGTCTCATGGTTGTAAAGCAGGATCCTTCTTAAAGCTCTGTCTGTGGTCCTGCTATGCTTCCCAAATGGAAATCTACCTGCTCTTTTGACTTAATGTATGCACACTGCATGCTCAAAAGTTGTTCCATGAGCAGCTGAGCTAGTGAACCTTTATTTCTTAGGGATTTGTGTCCTCTGCTTCTCAGCCTGCCCCTCTTTCTTGTTTTTTTTTGCTGTATCCATCTCATCCTTTAGCAGCACTGCTAATTTGCTTTCATTCTGTCCCTGCCCCAAACCCAAAGCATCTCACTGCTGTAGTATTTTTAATTGTCTCTTTTCCCCTAATTTCAAACTGAATCAGACACTGCTTGTTCTGCGTGTTTTTGCATGCTGACCATTTGTGTAGAGGCTAAACAGAACCAGGCACTGTTAAGTGACATATTTGGCTGTAGCCTCAGTGGAGGCATTGCTTTCATTCTCTACTCAGTTCCTGATTTTCTTGAAATGTGTAGAAATGTAAAACAAGGCTGGATTGCTTTGTCTGGTTTGATTGGCATTGACTGTAGGACAAAGTGTTTGTGTAAGCCTCATTTCCATGAGAAACCAGGGTAAAAATGCTTTAGGAATAAATTAAGAAAACTTGCTTGAATGCATATTTTTAGATTTGTTTTTAGTCTAATATATATCTCGACAGGAAAATTAATGTTAAAATGACACAAAGATTTTGAGTGTTTTGAAACAGTGTGTCTTACAAGACCCCCCAAAATTAGGCTGATAGCTTAGCATGATAATCATCAAACAACTGTTTAATTTCAACTTACAAGAAGAGAGCCTGTTCATTCACTTGGATGTCCAAATATTCCTTTTTACCTTCCACTTTTATGTGGATATAACTTACAGAATATGGTTTTCAGATTTTGTAGTTGCTGATCCAGGTAAATTCTGTTGGAAATAGTGGAATCCAGCCAAATCGTTAAAAGATGCTGCATTTCCGGGGGGGGGTGGGGTGGGGTGTTGTTGTGCTTGTTTTTGGAGTGCTTGTTTGGTTGGTTGGTCTTACAAATGCAATAATTTTGACAAATTCCCATCTTTCTCTTTGGAGTGAGGCAAAAAATGCTTTGGATACGTGGGACAGTCAACTACACCAACTGGAAAAAACACCCTGTTGTTTTTCTTAAATAGTATTTTTTTGTTATTAGGGCAGCAAATGAAATAATGGAATGGGAAAAATTCTTTTCATAATGGATAAAGTTTTTATGATCAACAGCATTTGTTTTTCATGTAATTAGTGGAAGGAAAACAGTGTTTAACAGATGAAAACGAGGCCTAAGATTTAGGCTGGTGTTTTCTTGAATGTTTTTTCTGTCTTTGTCAAAAATTGCTAGATTGTTTTGAAATTTAATGATGAAGATGTGTTTTTGAAATGTCTATATCTCAGTGGCAGTATTTCAAAGTACTTTTTGTTTTCAGTTTACATGTGTAATGGAGAAAGCAAGTCAGGTTTATCAAATGAAATATCACCTGGGTTCTTTTTTTATCGTTTGCTTCCAGATTTTTTGCAGAGGTTGGAAAGCCTATCATGAAATATTAGCATTGTTTTTTTTCAAGTTCAGCTGATGTAAAATGACTTTCAGAAGTTGGAGACAGCTGTGTATTTCTTTATGTTGTTGTTAGTACCTCTGCAAAACTTAGGCTTTCTAAAAAGGGGGTGGGAGGGGAAGTGCACCTGATTATTTAGGAAAGACAGAGTTGAAATTAACACGGACAACTGACTGTACAGATTTTTTCCTTTATTTCAGAAACTGAAACTTCATCTTTAAAAAGTGCAGTGCTGTGAAAACTGTTACTGACCATAGAAAAATGGACATGTTGCAGATACTCCGTAAAACCACAGAACGCTTGGAGTGTGACCACTGCAGCTTCAGAGGAACGGACTATGAAAACATACAAATTCATATGGGTACCGTTCACCCAGAGTATTGCGATGAAATGGATGCTGCTGGTTTGGGTAAACTTATATTTTATCAAAAAAGTGCAAAACTGTTTCACTGCCACAAATGCTTCTTTACCAGCAAGATGTATTGCAATGTGTATTACCACATCAAAGCACAGCATGCAGCACCTGAGAAGTGGAATGAGGAGCGGAAGGAACAACGGGTAGAAGGAGATTCAGATTCATCTAAAAAAAGTGTCACGTTGGAGCCACAGAAACCTTCCCTTTCCCCTGAGTCGCACAAACCCGCCCTTTCTCCTGAACTCCCCAAATCTGAACCTGTTGTTTCCCCCAAGCTTCAGAAATCTTCTGCATCTCCAGAGCCCCAGATACCTGCTCAGGTGACTTCCTCAGAGGCAGAGAAGTCAGCCCAGACTGTATCCCCAGATCCAGAAAAGTCAGCCCAGGCTACATCTCCAGATCCAGAGAAGTTAGTCTCTGCTGTGTCCCCTGATCCACAGAAGCCATCCCCGCCTGTGTCTCCTGATCAACTGAAGCCATCTCCTGCTGTGTCCCCTGACCCACAGAAGCCATCTCCTGCTGTGTCCCCCGACCCACAGAAGCCAGCCCCAGCTGTGTCTCCAGAGCCCCGGCGACATTCCCCAGCTGTGTCTCCAGAGCCCCGGCGGCATTCCCCAGCAATGTCTCCGGAACCCCGTCGGCATTCCCCTGCTGTATCACCAGAGCCCCGGCGCCATTCTCCTGCTGTGTCTCCAGAACCTCGCAGATACTCCCCAGCTGTGTCACCAGAGCCAAAGAAACCTACTCCAGCAGCATCCCCTGAACCACGGAGATATGCCCCAGCTGGGTCTCCTGAGCCACGGAGGCATCCCTCCCAGATGCGAAGGCCTGCTTCTGCTTCTCCTCCCGAAACCCGGAGGCCTGCTTCTGCAGTCTCACCAGAGTCATGGAGACCCGGTCCGACTGTTTCCCCTGAGCCCTGGAGGTCTCACGAGGTGCAGAAGTCTTCGACAGTTTCTCCCTGGGCTCCAAAGCCTGCCATGTCAGTGTCTGTAGAATCCCGGAGGTCTGCCCCTGAGTCCCGAAGGCCTGGCCCTGTTGTGTTGCCAGAACCTAGGAGGCTTGTTTCTGACTCGTGTAAGTCTACATCCTTTTCTGAGTCCCAGAAGTCTACTCTTGTTTCTTCTGAGCCATGGAAACCCATCTCATCTGTTTACCCTGAAGGCTGGAAACCTGTTCTGTCTCCTGACACATGGAAGCATTCTCCCCCAGTTTCTCCTGAGCTTCGAAAGTCTAGTCACACTGTTGCCTCTGACCCTTGGAAACCACCTTTCTTTCCTGAGGTCCGTAAGCCTGGTGTTTCAGTATCTCCTGAATCTTGGAAACTCTCTGAGTCACGGAAATCTATGTATTTTTCTGAAACTCAGAAATCCACCTCTGCTGCTTCATCTGAGATTCAGAAACGGGCTCTTTTCCCTGAACCTCGGAAAAGAGTGCTGTTCCCAGAGTCTCGTAAATCTAATCCTACTGCTTCTACTGATATCCAGAAACGTGCCGTCTTTTCTGAGCCCCAGAATCAAATATCTACTTCTGCTGTTTCTACTGAAGGTCAAAAACAAGCCCTGTGTTCTGAAACCCAGAAATCAGCTCTTGTTTCTTCTGAAGTCCAGAAGCATGCCCTATTTTCTGAAGCCCAGAAACTTGCTCCCATTTCCTCTGAAGTTCAGGAGTCTACTTCCTTTCCAGAGTCTCAGAAATCCACATCTCCTGAAATTCAGAAACATGGCCTCTTTACTGAGTCCCAGAAACCTACTCCTGTTTCTCCTGAGACACCCAAACAAGTTGTCTTTACCGACTCCCAGAAATCTGCTATTTCCCCTGATGTTCAAAAGCATGCTGTATTTTCTGAGATGCAGAAGCCTGCTGCTTTATCCTCTGATGTCCAGAGACATGCTGAAACTACTGTACCTTCTGAAATCCAGAAGAATATCCTGTTTTCCGAGCCTCACAAGTCTGCTTCAGGCTTTTTCTCTGAGCCCCAAACACCTAGTGAGTCTGGTGAGAGTGACTTTCTCTCTCACACTTTAGATGATCAGAAACCACTGGATGATTTATTCTCACAGGATGAACAATCGTTATTAGCCAAAGAATCACCAGAAGACTTGCTATATTCATGCCCGAAAAAGAAGCCCAAGAAGGAAAACCAGGAGAACTCGGATTCTGAACTAAATATCAGTGAGTGTGGGAAAACAGAGATGGACTCAATGGAGATAAAGGAACAAGAATCCAACAGTGACCAAGAGCAGTATGACATGGAGTCATCTGATTATGGCAAAGAGAGCAAAATGGATGCAACTACTCCCACGCAGCCACAGTGTGTGCTGCAGTTTACTGAAGAGAAAGAGGCTTTCATCTCTGAGGAAGAAATAGCAAAATACATGAAGCGTGGCAAGGGAAAATATTACTGCAAAATTTGTTGCTGTCGTGCAATGAAAAAAGGTGCTGTCTTGCACCATTTAGTTAACAAGCATAATGTTCAAAGCCCATACAAGTGTAAAATATGTGGCAAAGCTTTTCTCTTGGAGTCTCTTCTTAAAAACCACGTTGCTGCTCATGGTCAAAGTTTGTTGAAGTGCCCCCGTTGTAATTTTGAATCAAATTTTCCTCGAGGCTTTAAGAAACATTTAACCCATTGCCAAAGCCGTCATAGTGATGATGCACCTAAAAAACACTTGGACAACCTTGAACCACTTGAAGAACAAATTTAATCTTTTTTTCTCCTTGTGGTAGAAAAGCTAAATTTACAGAAGTGTTCAAAGTGTTACTGTATGTTAACCGAGTAGTTTAGCTGATCTGACAAGTCAGAAGATGCATGGTTTATTGTGCTATGTTTACCTTGTCTTTTATAGCTGTATTACTGAAGAGATTTACTTTTGAAAGTCATTTTAAATACGTGTTCATGTCTTTTTATTACCCATCAGTAGAGTCATATTTTATTTTTCAGATGTACTATGTTTTTGAAACCAAAATGGATACAAAATAGTTTTGTAAAGATTTGTAAAACGTATAGGCAATTAAGGACTGGAGTGGCAAGCAATCCATATTTTCCTGTGAAAACAACTTGTTTTTTCACATTTGTTAAATGTTGTATTTTTCAAAATGTTTTTATCAAGTTCTCAAATCTAAAATTCTCACTAAATTGAATGTGAATGAGCCAGGTATGAGAAACTACCAATGGCCTGGAATAATGATGCCCTGACGTTGTCATTGAGTGTATAGTCAATTGTTGGAAATTCATTGCACTCAATTCTTCGACTTACTTTTCTCAGATTTAGAAGCATCAAGGTACCTATTTCGTGATTCTGTGTTTTGGCCATGTTTTAAGCATGTACTAATATACATTAAATTGATAGATTAACATCGGACTATGTATAGCTCAACACTTTCTCTTGATGATTCAGATGTTTGTCAGACAACCCCTAATTTTCTTGTATTTGGTGAAATGTTATGCTTTAATGTTTTAACAATAAAAAGAAACCCAACCTGGTGTTGGCCATTTTTCTTCTTTTTTTTTTTTTTTTCAAATCAAGAATGAAACCTTTCATGTTCAACATACTCTCTTCTAAGTATCTTCAGCAACAAGAGATGCAAAATTGCTGAGAAGTTCTGAATGCTTGAACTTCCCAGTCATCAGCCTGTGAAAGAAAAGTTAGTCTGAATTTCATGTCTGTTTTAGAAAAACACATCAGATGTAAATGAAGGAAAACATGCAACCCAAGAATTTGTGCATTGTCATTTAGCATACTGGCCTCTGTGTGATTTGCATGTTATCTGTTAAAAAACCATAAGTACTTTATAATTCAGAAGGAATATAGATTTTAAGTGGAAGTAGCACAAGGAAGGTTTAATTCCTCTCAGGCTAAATTATGCATAGACTTAAGGTATTGTAAGTATTGGTTTAGAATATGAAGGTGTTAGTGTTAAATAGTAATAAAAAAGTCTTTAAGTGTAAGCTCCAATCAAAAGCTTTAGGTTGGTTTGATTGAAGCTGGTACCTTAACCCTTTTGTCTTTCAAGAGGGTTCTGAAAGTATGGGAAAAGGTATTTAAAGCTCTGTACTTTGGTGATTTCTCAGCACTGCCTGTTTAGAGAAGGAGTTAACTTCCTACCATGTTGATAGAAATAACGTGAATGCAATCTGTGACTTACTAAAAGCCAACAGAAATAGTTCACTTGACAGCATAGAATTGGAGATTCATTCTCTACTTCCCAAGAATTAGAAAATACTGTTTCTTGCAATGACAAATAATGCACATTAATGAGAGTCAGCATGGTGAAATAATTTCATAGCTCTGCAGTATATCCTTAATATCTACTTGGGTATAACACAATATTCAACTTTCAGATTCTTTCAGTTTTTGAAGGAGGTTACTTTAATAGATCAAGCATATGACTGAGAAAATGCTTCTGTATGGCCTTCTACGATCCCTATCCTTGGAGAGAAATCTCTTCTGTGTATGTTTGAAAGGGCACAGGTTTCAGTCATTTTCATGAAGAATGCTTGAGGGAAAGTACAAAATGAAAACAGAATAAGGAAACACCAGAAGGATGTTAGCTGTGGCCATATATGCTATATGAACTTACTTTCATCTTTTTATTGTAAAAAGTGGTTAATAATTGTATGGAATGTCTGGTCATGTTTTCAAAGTGCATTTTCACAAGCATTCTCTCAAACTAAAAGTAATCTGTAGAGAACTCAGAGGGGTTTTTCAAAGGTGGTTTTTGTCACAGATTATGACTTCATTTCATATTAGGGAAGAGATTCTTGCAAGAATGACTAGTTATCAGTAATATTTTATCTTCTTCCAGCATTCTCAAGAGTATCTATCTATATACCTGGGATATATACCTCTCTAGGTATATCTGTGTGTTGCTTAAGCTGTAGGTCAAAGAAATCATAGAGGAAGAATGTAACTTAGAGTGTGAACATTTATATAATATTAATGGTACTGGTTGGTATTATATTAATGATTAGTTGGGGGGCAAAATATTATGAAAAACTGAAGACCATTTAGGGTACAGTGTTTTAAAATAAAAATTGTGGGCTTCACAATTGCCTATTCTGAGAAAGATTATAAGAAGAATTAAATTTTAGTTCATTTAGTAGAAGCCAAGTCAAAGGAATTCTTGCTAATTTGTTCATGTTACAGATTCTGCTGGGAATTTGCTTGTTTTTTCTTGTGTTATTGACTTGTGTTTATCTGACTTGTTGTGCGTGTCAAGTGCTGGTGCAGTGGAAACAAGTGTGAGGGGAACATTTCTTCTGAAGGTAGAGGGCTAAGTCCAGAAGGGACAGTGAGCTCAGGTGGGCTTACGGTAACTCAGAAACTGCACCCTCCATCACAGAATTTCTAGCTAAGTGGCTCATCTGTGATGTCCTGGCCACTCAGTTAGGTTATTTCCTCACATCTGCCTCTTACCTGTCAATTATCTGCTGGGTTGGTCTTTTCTTTCACTGCCTCTCTGCCTTTGTAGTCTGTGTTACTGAATGCTCCAGGCAAGATTCTTATGGCTCGTGAGAGAGTGCCAAAGCCACAAGTGCTAACCCCCGACAAAAAGGATCAATTGTTTATGTATGCTTAGTGTTTCATTAGCTGAGCTGGGAGCCTTGGAGTCATAGCTGAGACCTGCTGTTCTGTTGAAGCTGTGGGGTTGCCCTCATTGTCCCTGGACAATCCATGACTGTAACAAAGGTTTGTAGAGGTATCAAAACCAGATGTTCTAAATCCGTCTCAAATGCTTATATTAATATTAACTCTTCAAAGTGCACAACTGTCTGAAACCCAAACCCTCAAGCTCCAGAGTTTAAGCAAATCTCATTAGAGAAGCAGGCATTGATTCCCAGTGGCTTTCTCTAGTGCTGCAAGAGAAAATTTTAAAACAGTTTTCTCTTTGTACACTCAGCGTTTAGTTTTATTCCTTATTCTCCCTCCATTCACAGCTGTAGAACTTGAAGCATATTGAGGAAAACCAGTTCCTTTTAAGTAACTTCCAAACCTGCATTTTAAAAATAAAAATAAATCATTTAAATCTAATGAGGAAAATTAAATCCTTGTATTAAGAATAAAGACTCCTAACATAGGTACCTGTCATCCTGACTTTGTAGAAGACTAGAAGTTTTATCAGTTACAGCATCCATGCTATGTACTTCTAGTTAGACACAAAAGGGGGAAGCTTCTGGCAGCTTCTCAGAGAAGCCCCCCCATCCTTCTGTATCCCCCCACTACTAAAACCTGGCCACACAAAGCCAACACACAGTGCTGCATTAGTGGAAAAAGCCTGAACAAGGAAAACGTGGGACTGTTACTGGGTGGAGCGGGTGGATTGGTGACTGCAGACACATAGAAGTCTGAGGTACCTAGTGCTACCTTTGTCTTGACCTCACCAGCAGGGTCTCCCAGGCCTCTGTGATTACTCCAAGGGTTGAAGGAGTGGAATAACTACCATTAGAGAGGGTTGAGTCAGGAGTTACTCGAACTCAAGTCATACAGTTCCATGGGAGTCTATGGACAGTGTCCCAGGGTGCTGTGAGCATTGGCTGACATCTAAGGCAGTTGTGTATTATCTTTGATGGAGTTATCACTGGCATTCTATAAACATTAATACTTATGGTGACTTTAGGACAGAATCTTTTTGAAAATTGAAGCAGGGGGATGTACATAGAAGAAATCTTAAAGCTTCTTCAGTTCTCCCTCTTCCTGCAGAGTTTCCAAATACGTAATATTATAAAGGTTCAGCAGTGCAGTTGCTACAGACGTGAGTTGGCTTGGTGGTGCTGTTTTATTATGGAGAACAGGAAAGTTGGTAAGGACCAAATGAAGAATTTGGAGAAAATGAGCTCTGCAGTTGAAATGATGTCTCAGCTTGTCAGTAACACACATATTGATAGCACGGCCTCACGGGTGGGACAGAAGGTTTTTAGACAAAGACCATATGTGCACTAAAGAGATAATGTAATGACCTTCCTGATGTGGCTCTGGCTTAAGGGGTTACTGCACTCATCTGTCTGACTCCCTTTGTCTGTGCATTGGTCCTTAACCCCTTTTTGTTGAACTGTTCACCGGTGTTATTTCTAAAGCAGAAACTAGTCTCTGAAATGTCTTGTCTGCAAATAATTCTTTTTCAAAACCAGAGTAATTTGTAAGTGCCTGCATTTATGGTTAAATGAAGCATCCCACTGTGGTGCAGATGTTGTATTAATATCCAGAAAGGGAAGAAAAAGGTAGGGCTGAATGGTAGGTAGTAATTAAATATTTTTTAGCAAAAGAGCACACTCATAATAGGAGAAATTTCTTCATAAAAAGGGGTGTCCAGCCAGACCAGGCAGCTCAAGGTAGTGGTGGAGTCACCCTTCTGGAGGTATTTAGAAGACAGGTAGATGTGGCACTTGGGGACATGGTTTAGTGGTGGACCTGGCAGTTCTACATTTACAGTTGGACTTGATAATTTTAGAGGTCTTTTCCAACCTAAACAGTTCTATGATTCTGTGATTCTATGTGTAGCCTATGTGGACCAAAATATTCCTGTCTGAATGACTCCTTCGCTGCATGTCACCTCAGGTTTCTTCCAGCACCTTGTCACTGAGTACTCTTGGACTTGTATCAGCTGAGGCACAGACCTCCCTGTTAAATGAAATGCTTTCCACATCATTGTGAGGCCAGTCTTTGTGTATTAGAATGTTAAATGGTATTCCTTAAAATTAAAATATTTTCCTGCATAAATTCACTGAGTGAATTGTGAAATACTGATTTCCTCTTGTTCCAGATGTTGTTCTGCTCGGTACCCAGACTACTGTCCCTTAATATTCTTCCTCTGTACTCTGAAACCAGTATGTTGGTTTAAAAGTCAGCATTGGAAATAAGTGACAGTATAGAATATTACCTCCTCCTAAAAAAAATTGCTGTGGCTAAAGGCAGGGTGGAATTGACACCAAAAAACCCTTAAACAAACTAAACGTTCCTGGTATTCATGTGAGAGAAATATGCATCGGACGGAAATGGGTTATGTGTGTACAAATTCAGTGTGGCTTTTACTAGTATCACTTAGATGTAAGAGATTGTTTTGTTACTACTTTCTCTCTTGTCTGACTTCCTGAAAATGTCAGAGCTAAAACAAATTTCAAAACTGGAAACCAAACAGACTTTACCCCCTCTGGACTCTGCCAATCTCTGGGGTGTTTGCAGTGACTTTAGGAGCGCAAAGTGTTAGAAAGTATTAGTGTGAAAAATCACACTCATGTGTTGCCAGATTTTATTTTACACAAATTTTAATTTACACAAGAGGAATTCTGACATCTTATTGAATTATAATATAAAGATTTTTTAAATTTTTTTTAAACTTTAATTCAATATGGATGCTGTCACATTTAACATGAACCTATACTCTGACGTTGCTGTTTGTGCGTTGCTAGATCATGTAATTCATTTTTTAGTCTCCTTATTATGAGACTTTTAATTTGCTCTGGTATCACCAACACAATCTGGCTGAGGGTTGAGTACGTCAGCCTGCCCACATGAACCCTGGCTGCCTGACTTTGTGCTGCGAAGCCTGGCAGGGAGCAAGGAAGGTGCCAGCCACCTCCTAGTCTGCAGATCTTGCTGCAGCTACTGCTTTGCTCCTGTGCTAACAAATTATTATACAGCACAGTTAGGCTCTCTAGATGGTGGTGTGCCCCACACAGGGCTCGTGTGTCTGGGCAGTGCAGCCTTGTGTGGGGTGTGGGATGCAGGGTGCAGAGCAGCCTGACTTCTGCTCTTCTCCCACCCCACCAGGGCTGTGGAGCCTTTGCCTCTTGACTCACTTTACTATGCCTTTAACCTCTTTTAAGAAGAGCTGTAATATCTGCCAAGATAAAATAACGGACAGGGAGTGATAACAGTGTTGTGGTTTTGCACACATGACAACTCTTATGACATAAGGATCTTGGGGTTTGATTTTTTTGATTTCTTGCCCAGAGAAGTTGTGGATGCCCTATCCCTGGATGTGTTTGAGGCCAGGTCGAGCGGGGTGTTGAGCAACCTGGTGTAGTGGGAGATGTCCCTGCCCATGGCAGGGGGTTTGAAGCTACAGGATCTTAAAGGTCCCTTTCAACCCAAACCATTCTGTGATTCCATGATTCTGTGCTACACCAAGTGCTGTTTTATCTTGTTACTGCTCGCTGCTCTCTGGAACACAATTTTGGAGTAGTTGTCAATAGAGGGAGCTCCAGAGCAATTTATGAGAAAGTCAGCTTTAAACATATTAAATACACATGTGGAATAGTAATAATATACAAATGATTGGTTCAGGAATTACTCTGGGCTTTTGTTCTTATTGTGGTGAATTAATTTTGGCCCTCCTCAGGCTGATTTCCTCGCCACCGTACCCTAAGTCCGCTGTTTTAAAGCACTTGTTTGTTTCCTTTGACACCTCTCCCTGCTGTGCAGTATTTCCATTCCCACAGCACATGCGTTATTTACAAAGATGTTTAAAATATTTATGTAATCTCCAAAAAGTAACCGCTCTTTTGTCTCCTAGGTCACTACTCCTCTCATCTTGGTAAGAAAAAGCTCTAAGGGAATTATAGAGGAGGCCTGCCCTTCCCGTGGTGGCACTGAAGCGCTGGGCTGTAGTTGAAGCCCCCCAGTGCCAGCCTGTTGTGCCAGGGACCTGTGCTGCATGAAAGCTCTGTAAGTGCAAAGAGGATTTAACTACAGTCCATGGCAGACAGCAGGTGCACACAACAGAATTGCAGCCTCTGGCTGACAAGAGGGTTTAAAAATCTCAGACCTGTTGACCACCAGAAGCTGAGAGAATGAAGCAGGGCCACAAGCACTCCCCGTAAGTCCTGCTCATACAGCACTTACAGCTGGCCCCTGCTGCTTTTGTGAAAGACCCCAGCACAGCTTGTCACCCAAAGCTTACAGAGGGGAGGGTCACACAGAAATTGCACAGTGATTCATAGTCACACAGAAATGCACTGGAGGGAACTAGTGAGATGGAAACGAGAAGAAACATGAGAAATCAAATTTAGATCTAGGTTAAGCTTCCTCAAGTCTGAGCAGAGAGGGGACAGCCTCCAAGCAGGAAATCTGAAAATACAAATCCAGATGTAGCTGGCACTGCCATAGGAAATCAGCCTGCAAGGCAGTGGTAGCACTGGCTGGGTTTTGTACATTTCCACTTGCAGCACTGACAGCATTTTCTTGACTATTGATGGACAGCAAGAAAATTACTGTCTTGCTCTAACTATCTTGGAGACATTTATTTATTTATTTTATCTAATATTAAATCAGATATAAGGGAGAAATTATTTACTGTGAGGGTGGTGAGACACTGGAACAGGTTGCCCAGGAAAGTTGTAAGTGCTCCATCCCTGGAAGAGTTCAAGGCCACTTGAATACTTGGATGGAGCGTTGAACAACCTGGGATAGTCAAAGGTGTCTCTGCCCATGGCAGGGATGTTGGAACTAGATGATCTTTGAGGTCCCCTCCACTCTTAACGATTCTGTGATTCTCTGATGTGTCTGTGCTCTGACACACTGCCTGTAGATGCTGCCTGTCCATCTGCAGTCATATTTCCCCTTGACATCCTCAGGAATTTTGACTGAGTGAGGCTGTGCACTGCTTTACTTACTGAGTCAAACACTGTTTGCAGATATAAAATACAGACAAGCCCTGAAACTTCTGTTCTTCATCATTTTACATGGACTTGCTGTGTTCTGGGCTGTCTCCAGCATTTTTCCTCCCTGTACTCATAACTTTAGGCAATAATGAAACTGAATAAGCCAAATGACCAACTTGGCCTTGACATGGCCATAATGTTGTTGAAAGTGGGGGGAAATACAAACATACTGCCTTGGCCGTAGGAACCTTCCTGCTTCATTTACAGTAAAAAAGAATCAGAAATCCTTAATTCCCTCACTTTCAGACTTCTCTGATACACATGCACTCTAAGGCATTGCCCAAAACATTAGGAGAAAGAAGTCAGAAGACCTTCATAGTTTGATCTTTCAAACCTGTCAATGAGAAATCCTTCAAAATTTAACTTCTCACTAAAGAAACACAGGGATGTTTTAATTATATTAAAAACAGTCACCAAAGAAGGTCACATCGCTTGGAAGCAAATGCTTCTTTTGAGTAATGATCTCTGAATGCAAAATGAACTGACAAAATAAGAGTGATAAATGGTCTTAGGCGGGATCGTTGGCATAGCATTCATTGTGGTTTTGAAGCAGCAAGGAAGGATTCAAATACCTATGCATTTACAACAGAACTGGAATGATTTATCTGCTCTGGTTTATGTCAGCACGTTTCTCTGCAAATAGCTGGAGTGAAGATTCCAGTTTTCCTGATAAATAGCAGAAAATCAACCCACTGCCACTGGCATGTGCAGCGTAGTTCACATTGCTTTGCAGCAGCTGCAGGATGCTTTCCTTACTCTTTGTGTAAACAAAGAGATATGATGCCAGCACAGGGAAGGGCTCCTGACAGGCTGCTGGTGCAGGAGCTGCCCAATCACCTGGTCAAGAGATATCAGGCGCTGGAGCCTTTGATTGCTGTGACCTGAGCTGTACTCTACCCAGATTTCTTAAAACTGGCTATTTTATTGTTTGGATATAAACTGGTTGCTGAATAGATGGAATTAGGTTTGTTTAATTAAAAAAAAAAAAAAAAAAGCTAGGTAATTGAGTTAAAACTATGTGGTTTATGGCAGAAAATGCCAAAGTTAATTACAGTTACCATCTGTTTCATCAAAACTCTTATTTGTTTTGAATACGTCTATTGCCAGGTCATGGCTGGTTTTAATGTCTGTCTCAAATTCATTCCAGTAGGGAGGTACTCTAAAATAAATTATCTTATTCTCCATAACCTCAAGCAGACAACAGTGGTGGTGTCTGCAGTGACCTTATGGTGCTATTTCTTGAAAAGAAAATATTGCCGTGGCTTTAATCACTGCAAGCTTATCTCTGTGCACAGAGAGCTTGCACGTTTTTTTTCAGGGATTTATTCAAGGAGGCCTGTGTGGTTTTGTATATTGCAAACATGAAGGGCATTCTTTTCCTCAGTGTCTCCTTTCCACTACCTGACCATGATTTAATTCCTGATACATCAATTCTCAAAAAAACCCTGGAGAATTCACCTCTCCCCATGTGCTTACACACAGATACACAAGTACCTGCACACGCCTCGCTCCCAAGAGCTGTGTCACAATATATGAGTCAGCTCCCTTGAGAGTCTTGCAGTACACTTGTATGACGTGGTCTGGAGGAACTGAGTGCCTGGATGTAGCACAAGCTTTTACTGCGTGAACTTGTTTGCAACATGGGGCCATTTATCCCAGGCTCTTACTGCGCTACTGGGCTGCCTGCATTCCCTGGGGGATGCTAGCACAAACGCCAGTTCTTGCCTAGTTACCAGGAGGGTTGTGAGGTATTTGAAATCAATGTTATGTGTTGCTGTTGGTAAATAGAAGAGGGCAGGCTATTGCTTAGGTGAAAGAAGCAAGATGGCTGTGAAAAATGGGAGACTAAGAAAAATAACTTCTAACAGCCCATCTGTCTGATTATATAAACATTCTCCAAAACATTCATTTCTGTGGCTAAAGTATCACTGATACTTTTGTCATTTCCAAGGCTTGAGGAAATGTATGAATTCATGTGTACTGAATCCTGCGAATTCAAGGAAAATTCAATGGATATTTAATCTGCTTCTGGAAGGAAAAATTCTTCCCTCTGCTTCCTTCAAAGAGAAACAAAAACATCCTTTATTTTTCTTAGTAAGAGAACTGTGTAGCTACCACTCTACATAGTGAAATGACAACGTCTTGAAAATCTTGCTGCTCTTACATCTTGGATAAATGCTAACCTAATGGAAGTGATAGAGAATTAGGCAATAAGATTAGAAAGAGAGATTGTTCCTGAATCAGTCCATTAGGATTAACCAGGCTTTGTTCCATGGCAACTTAGCTAAGAATAATCACGACTGCAAATAGTGCAGTTCCAGTTTCTTGGGTGGAGCACGGAGTAAAAGTGCTGGTCTCCAAGTGCAGTTGTTAATGTGTTTGGCGGTTCTTAAATGTCACTGTGGCCATACTTCAGCAATTCAGTTAGAATTGGTTTTGCCATCATATGTGATGCATAAGGAATTCAAAAGCCTGCGGGAGAACTGAGTTCATAAGGTCCTTGTACGTTCAGGTTATTTCTGATGGGGCATGATTTCTGGCATTAACAGTTGAGACTGACAGCATTGACTTTGCCACCTGAGTCACCAGTGGTATACGAGGCACGAAAGGAGTATGTGAGAGATGTGGGTTGGAGCAGTCAGGCTGGCACATTGGTGGGTCCTGATGATAAACCAGTTCTCAGGAATGTAGATCTCAGGTGGAGGAGAAATTCAAAACACCTTCTCTGTTTATTCTTGTTGCAGTGCCCCATTTTGGGCGTGGCTGAGCTGGGCCCAAGGAAAGGCAGTATCACCAGTGAACAGTTTGATTACATTGATCATATCTAGGAAGAATCCTGAGAACCTTCTAAGAAATGTAAACTTGTTTTCACTATTCTACTCTATGCTCCCCCACCTCACATTGCAACATTTTTTTAATATTAAATGCATTTGCCTGTCTAATCTGTGCTTGGAAACCATAGTGCTTTCTTAATCAAATACATAAAACTATTAATGCTAGTTTAAATTGGTGAATTATGTTGTCACAGTCATTTAAACAAAGAATGCGTTGGGCACAGGCATAGGTTACAATGAAGGGCCCATCCCATCTGAGACATTTCATGGGCAGTATAGTTAGCTGAAGGAGTAGTACGTGTGTGGTCACAATACTCAAGTTCCCATCTGCCATCCAGTTCTTTTGTCCTGGTAGAAGCCCCGTTGTGTGCCATAGTTTTGTCATGAGGGGAAGTACACATTGCTAACCAGCTGTGTTTTGATTCCACTCACTGCCCCTCTGTGTCCTCTTGTATGTACACCGCTTAGGATGTCTGCCAAATCAGTCAGTTGGGGCTGAAATACTCTTCAAGATACTGGTTTAGGAAATATTTATGCAGGAACAACAAACGAGAAAATGCGGCTTCTTTGGTGTCCTTTGTCTTGTAGCTAAAATTAAGTTTGTCAGCAGGAGAGAGGAGCAGATGTTCTGCAGGCCAGTGATGGTGCACAGGCTCCAGGGCCAGCTGCAAGCCATGAGGGACAGGGCTGCTGCTCCCAACATACAGCCCTGGGCAGCTCACACTCACAGCTCTGGGGTAAAGCTGCGGGGTGTGTGTGACAAAGTACCCTCTTTGTCACACACACCTTTGACAAAGACCTTCACTTGCCCTGAGCAGGAGGTAGGACTGGCCTTGTGCCACTTACCAAGTGTGTTTTTTGTTCTTCAGATTAAATTACTTTAAAAAAAATTTTAGACAAAGATAACACACACGCCCCTTCCCTAAATTACAAGAATTTATTCAGTGCTTTGTGCTTTTTTGCCAAGTTCATAAAGAACATCGCCTTTCTAATGCTTTGCAAGAAAATGTTGGTACGTTTTCCAGAACTGTACTTAAAATGTATATATTGAAGTTTGATATCCTGCAGATGTTTGGTGAAATTCTAATAAAACAGCCAGAGTAACCCACCATGGGAATTTTATCAAAATCCTCTCGAGGAAAATTAATCCCAAGGGATGTGTCATAGGTCAAACAAAAGCTGTCATACCTCCTCCTTGTTTTGAAAACACCCAAAACACCCTCTTTTATTTACAACCAATATATAAAAGCTTTTTGTCAGCAATTTGTCTTTTTATTTATGTGCTGGTATGCTAACTAATTATTACAGGTTCCACACAGTGCTAATCTTGCCATAATGGTATTTCTAGTATGACAACTTTCATCTGCTGACTAAACAAGCACAGTCTTGCCTTTTCTCAGCATGGCCATGACTCAAAAACAAGTCACTGGGAATTAAGGATCTTAGGGC